TGAGTCCGGAAATAAAAGGGCAACAAAAATTTTCGAAAATTTCAAAAGGGCAACTAAATTATTTTTCAAACCAAAAGGGCAACAAATTTTAACAGTGTTTAAATCAGAGTTTCCGCCGCAAGGCGTAGAAACCCATGAGCCTTACAAGGCGCAACAACTTTTAGCCTTGTAAGGCTCAGCCGCCTTGAGCCTTACAAGGCGCAAGGCTGCTTGTGCTTTGCAGGCTATTTTTTTTTTTAAAAAAAAAAATTGATTTTATTTTCTTGAGCTGTTATATATATATAACAATAAGTTTTATTCTTATTTTAAAATCATCATTGAATTCAAAATTAATATTTGAGTCTAGAAATTGGACGTAAGTCATGTTTTGGGTAAGAGAGATACATTTGAATTCAAAATTAATATTTGAGCCATTCCTTGTAGTTATTATTATCGTGTCCAATATAGATCTGGTACTAAATATAATTTGTCACTAAAAGTAAATAGTTAGTGACGAATTTCATGTTATAGCTAATAATATTATAGCTATATATCATATATTCATATTTGTTGTACTGTGTCATGTCTCTATGATGTGTGTTGATACCCTTTAGTTTGTTGACTAGTTAAACACGAGTTTGCATGGAATGACTCTAACTATTTGTAGTGATCGATGTATAAAGAAAGATGTTATACGCAAGCATCGTCCATATATTAGTATAAATATTATAGTTTTTTCAATATAATAAAATGATCGTGCATCTATTTATTTTTTATAATATAAAGAGATTTATATAGAGTTGTTTTAGCCCAAATCAACTCATGATAAGAGGGATAGACACGAAAACACCTAGGCAAATAGTTTTGAATATGTATTTTTTTATTGTACGATAAATCCTTTTTTGTAATACAATAAGAGTCAAATGTATAGCTGGATACTGAGGAAGAAAAGAACAATTTATCTTACTATTCATAGTATTCAATTGAATACTTTTTTTAATACAATAAGCTCTTCCTCAATATATATATTACTAATTACTAATATATAGAAGATTACTAATATATAGAAGAGTCTAGGAAGCAGCTGTTTGTCAACATGCTTGCTTCCTAGACAAGGATAATTTGGTAAGTTACTATCTAATTCTGCTATATACTTTGCTGTGAATGCTTATACAATATGCTTTGGAAATTGTGCATTTCATGATTTTTTCCCTCTAATTTCTATTGTGTCCTTTTGTTGATAATTTTCTAGACAAGGGTAATTTGGTAAGTTACTATCTAATTTTACTATATACATTGCTGTGAATGCTTATACAATTTGCTTTGGAAATTGTGCGTTTCATGATTTTTTCCCTCTAATTCCTAGTGTCCTTTTGTTGATAATGCAGTACTTTTTCAAAGTTTTATTTGTCCCTTCTTTAGTACTCCCTCCGTTTCACAAAGAATGACCTCCTTTCCTTTTTAGTCAGTTTAAAAAAGAATGACTTCTTTTCTTTTTTGGTAACATTTTACTTTCTGCTTTTCACGTGGCATGTTTAAGACCACAAGATTAAGGGCAATTTTGTACATTTGACATAACTTTAATTTAAGACCACAAGATTCAAAAGTCTTCTTTATTTACTTAAACTCCGTGTCAAGTCAAACCAGGTCATTCTTTGTGAAACGAAGGGAGTACCTTTTTACAATAAATCTACTGGTACATATTGGTAAATATATTGAAATGTGAGGCTTTTTTCAATGCCTTAAAGGCATAAAAGTGTTGATGTTAGCACTTACTCAGACCCACACGTCCCATCAATAAAGTATTTAGTACTATTCTTTTTTTTTGGTAGACATATTTAGTATTCATTTGTAGTTATTTTAGGCTTTCTTTGTTATTGTGTTTGAGATCATGTAGAATAAAATTAACTAATAAAATTTAATATTTCATATTTCATTACTAAGGCTAAATTTAAATGATAATATGATTGTTCATTACTAATATTTAAAAATAGTATTAAAAAATTATCGAC